GGGGGATAGATCCCGTCAGCTATTTATAGGATACCCACAAACCGTGCATATGTGTGACAGATTCACTCCGTCCAACCGAGGACTGGGTACTGAGGGCCTCTTCGGGGAAGGCTCTTTAGGGAATGTGCCGAGACACCTCCTTAGGTGACTTTATAAGTCGCTTTAAGTAAGAGCTAGTCTTATTATCAGAAGACAAAATACGATCATCTACAATGAGTGTAGAGGCAGTTAATTTACTGAGGCGCATCATTCAATGTGATGTACTAATAGTGGCTTCGTATACTTTACTAAGCTACACTCTAGTCCTCCATGTTACTCTAATACTCAAGTTTGTATATCACCGATTATCTTTAACCGCGTTTTGCGGCTACTACTTTCTCTCGCCACGTCCCTCAAATTTTCTGCAATCTTCCGTTTGTGTCTGGAGTACTGTATGATAAAGTGGTTGCCGGTGTGTCGAAAGACGGGTCCAGAATGTAGCCTTGTTTTTACATATCTTCCATGAAAGCGCTGAACTTATGTCAGCAGCTGTCATCCAGCATGTCAGCAAGTGCGTATGTGGCCACCTGGTCGACTGATTTTCCCAAGATGGTGGGACGCTTAATAGACAGAGCTGTTGCTTTCGTTATCCTAATCTGTTTGTCCAAACCAAAACTTTTATGTAATATTGAGCTGGGGACTTTCGACTCCAATCGCCTACGTCTCTGAAGATTGTAGATTGCCTTTGTGGCCGATACATCTACAGAAAACTAGTTTCAGTTACCGGGACGTACTCTGAAACGCGAACCTATTCTCACGACAGATTCTTACCGCTAGATAATAGGAGTGTAAGAATAAGAACTTGTTGTTTCGTGCCGTCGTCGGTGCAGTCGTGTTCACCTGTTTCTCTGTTACTGTCTCTCCGCGTTAGGGTTTTGAAATGACCCAAGACATTGCCACCAACACCCAGCCATTCCCTATGGATACCCCTGTCTGCACCACATCCGTCTTTGGGGCCCAAACCACAACACCTGCCACCGTCTCCGCTGCCTCGCACTCTTGGATTGCTAGGGCCGCGGCTACTGTTCAGCCCGTGCAGACGCCCTCACCGGTCCCTGCCACGCCGACTACGGCCGGATCTCCTGGCCTGCTGCCTGGCAACCGTCAGACAGCTGAGATCCGCCCCATCACCAATAATGTGGCTACTGTGCTCCCAACACCCACCACTCCCGGTAATTACGCCCTTTCAACTGCTAAATCAGGCTTATTTCCTGCCCGTTGGGCCTGTATGGTCTGAAGCCAACGCTCTAGCTAAATGAGTTATCGAGAGCCATGAGTTTAGTCAAACTTGGGTCAATTTACCCGCATGGTGGGGGCCTCGTAGCTCAGCTGGTTAGAGCGTTGACTGTACTAATGCCTCCCTCTTGTGGGCGTTGCTTTGAATCCCGCCGCACCTGGTGATTTTTTCATAATTAGGTCGAATATGTCGCTAGGCTGACTGGCTCCCAGCGCACACCAACTTGCTGCTCTTGTTCTCCCTGTGCTCGAGCATCCACCGCCGTATAGCTCAGTTTGGCTTTAGTTGCTGGTATCGGCAGTCCGCCCCATGCGTTGCCACGCCGCCGTTTTTTATCGGTTTACACACGGCCTTCTTTTATTCTACAATTCTACACATTTAACCGGTCACCCGACTGACCACAATTTATTGCATAGACTCCCACGTTTGTGGGTAAAATTCTGGAGTCCTTGCATCAAGCTTATAGTCGATTAGCAGATAGGTACTCACTCATCGGCAGCAAAACTCCTTCGTCCCTTTGTGCCTTGCAGCTTGCTCTCGAGCCCACTCACCTTGTTATAGGCAGATATTCATAACCTTCAAAGACAATGGAGATTGGAATCGCAATTTCTGGCTTATTGACCGTCATCAAGTAGTCATAGTCAACCCCAGGGGGGGCGCCCCCCGCCCCCCGAGGTTCGAACCCGCGCTCTAACCATTGTGCTATGGGCTCGTTGTCTTGCTGGTTTCGGTCGGGGTGTACACAATGGTAGATAGGCGGTCATCGATGAGTTACGGAACTCACTCCTCCTGTTATCATAAAAGTTTGCAATGGACGTGGATCATGTTGTATGCTTTTTGGGCAATATTGACAAATTGACGGATACAATGTATTATGATTAAACAGTTAACGGTCTTAAAAAGCTCATAATTAGAAACTTTTTTAAGGCCGAAGGTAATTTTTCTTCAACCCATAAGTTTGAAGAAGGCGTAATTGGCTACCAAATGTGAACAAGAAAGGATGTTTTGTGCGTGTTTTCTGTAGAATATATTTAAATTCATAAGAGCATCGAAAGTCTGTGTCGGGAAATGCATACTACTTAAGTAACCATTTTTGCAG